GGGGGGATTATATACCAATGAAAGAATTTTTCTTTTACTTTTCAAAGAGAGGAGTGAACTGGAGGGGAGGGCTGGGCAGGGAGAAAAGTGCAACAATGAATGAATGAAAATCCAAAATATCTGTAAATGTTCATTAAAAATAATAAAATTTAAAAAAAGATGTTAACTTTAATTATAAGCATTATTTAAAAAGATCTGAACTAAAAAAAGGCATACCTTAAGCATTTGCTTTTAATTAATAAAATATTTACGTTTATTATGTTATTTTGTAGGGCTCAAACCAACTGCATTTTATCTACAGTGACTTCTGATAAAAATATATAAATAACATTAGTTTTAGTAAAAAAGAAAACTATATTATATTTACTTCAATCTATTAATGTAAATAATCATATACTGGAAGTACTGTGTGTATATAATATTGAGGTTAGAGGAAAGAATACATCAGTGATTTAAGAATTATTGCCTATGGTCACCTTTAAACTAAAAGTTATCTATAGTCTAAGAAGTTTTTAAAACAAAGTATCTTGAAAAAAATCTTTGTATAAAATGGAGAAAAATCTCTGTGATTTCCTTGGTAACTAGTCTTCTAGACATTACAAAGTGATTTCTTCTGAAATGCACACTATCTGCTTTCCGATGTTACCTCCTGTCATCATGGACTGGAATGCAGCTGAAAAGAAAAAAAACCTGATTATCTGAAAAGACCAACATCACTTTCACATGTTCATAAGGAAGTCAGAGTATAAAACATGTATGATTCATTTCAGTCCTGTCTTCAAGAATCTTAATATAGGTCATTGTAAATAAAAGAAGCCTCAAATAAAACAGTGATCAAGTCACAGCACAAGAGAATTTAATTACAACTGTAAAATACTGGTTTTTGTCATAATAGAAAATGCTTAATTGTTTCCTATAACAGACTTGTTTAGAGTTCAAAGCTAGTGGTTTGAAAACAATGTATTCAAATTTTATGAATAAACTAGTATAAAATTAAATTTTTTAAAAAGACTAATAGAAAATAAGTACAGGAACAAAAGGTGAACAAAAACCAAGGTTCAAATAACTGCTAAAAATTTTAGAAACTGAATTCTAAAGCTTTCCTAATAAGTGAAATACACATCTGTTTTACCAGACATGACTGAAATTCATATTTCTATTTGGTTTCTGTTGTGTGACATGAAGTCGGAACCACTGTCCCTCCAGCAGGTTTTCATAGGCAGTTAGTTAATCACACTGGAGGAGACTTTTCCCATGGAGCAGCTGTAGATTTGAACCATGTGCCTTTGGGATTTTAGTGTAGCTTCTTACTTCTATTTGGTATACGTATTAGCCATATATATATAATTTTTCTAAAAAAGGAATAAAAATAATTTTTATTTGGTATTTTCCATTTTAAATATATAGGAAAAAACCACTGGAATGTGGATAAGAGGCAAAAATAATATGTATATTATAGAGTGCAATTATTCAATGGACTTTTCTGGATTATACATTTTATGGGAATAAGCATTTTTTTTCCCTTCATTTTGTTTTTATTATAGCATGTTTGCTTAATTTAAAGCAAGCGGAAAATAAGTTGGGTCTTGTTTTTGATCCAAACATTGATGTTTTAAAGGTTGTACACAATATTTGTTAAAAAGAACATATAAAAATACCTTTTTAGAAGCTTCTATAAGAAAGAAAATACAAAGTTTAACCCCACAACTTTCCTCTTTGCTAGAACTGCAAACTACGGCTACAGTTTTAAATACTTTTTGTTTAAACTATACATCCAGGAAAATCTAAAAAATTAAAAGAAACGTGCATATAAATGATATGCATAACAGAACATGAACAACATAACTGCAAACAGTAAAGAAATGAAAGTTAGAAATACTATCAAATATACAAAGGTTCTAGAATTAATCCCTCAAAACACATTCCACAAACAATATTTAAAAACCATCTGTTGTTCTTTACAGGCAGGCCTAAATAACTAAAATAAAAACTGAAAACAGTACTCCTCCAAAAGGAATTGCCTCTCAATATTTCTTTTATCTGTAAG